TAGGACACCTCTTCCCAGACTCAGCTTTGAGCCCCTGGGAGAGGCCTCCCCTGGTTGCCAGGGCAACGGCTCCATTGTGCCTGCCGCCTGAGTTTAGCAGACAGGCAGGCCCCCTCGGTTTCTGGACCCCGCTCTCCCTACCATTCTTGAGCCAGTGGAGCCTGCAGGGCCCCATTCTACTCCTCAGGGCCTCTTTGTCGTCAGGATGCAGAGGAGGGGGAGACAGGCTGACTGGTCACCATGCCAACATCTCACGGCCCACATCCCTAGGGGGAGGGGATGGGCTGGGGTGGTTGGACATTCAGCAGTGGAGGGAGCAGTTAGTCTGACTCTTGGGTCACCTGCCCAAGGGCCCCTGCGGCTGGCTCAGAGTCCACTTTGGGAGAGGATTTCACTAGCTCTCTGCTTTTTCACCCAGTTTGTTCCATTTTTGTTGGTTAAGCAAAGCCTGAGGCTTAGGCTTCCTCTTACCTATCTGAATTTTCAGGCACCAGGTGGACTGTGGCACACACAGCCTAAATGGGATGATAACCCCTCATTCCTCCCTTCTTCCTTTCTTCCTTCCTTCACTCCATCTCCTTCTTTCAACAACATTCACTGAAGCTGACTCAGAACGATCCTGCAAGGTAATTATTAAAACCACTTTACAAAAGGAGAAACTCTTACTCAAAAAGGTAAATGACCCAAGGTTCCCAAAATATTGTCAGAGGCAGGATTCAATCTCAGTTCAGCCTGGCTCCAATATCATTGCTTTAAAGTCAAGAACAGATTATATTCTCCCTACCACTGACAGTATCTTGACTACTCTGTGCACAGTAAGCAGATTAGTTATTGACTAAAAGCAAGCATTACAAGGATGTTAAGGGCTGGGTGTCTTGCATATAGTAGCTGCTTAATAAGTATGCGATGGATGGATGGATGGATGGATGGATGGATGGATGGATTGATGGATGGATGAAGGGACATATTCAGGGTAACTACTCAGAGTATTAAGGCAATTAACCTGGAAGACAACTGTTCATTTCCTCATTTATTGCTTCATTTGTACATTCATTCAGTAAATAAGTTCTGAGGACTTCTGTATGCCAGGCACTGGGGACATAAGAAAAACTAGACAGATATGTGTTTCCATGTCTGGTGAGAGAGGCGGAGAGGTAAACAGCCAATCACAATTTGTGGGATGAGTGCTCCATCGGGAGAGTAAAGGCACTGGGAAAGACCAGCTGACCTCAATGACATTTCTCATGTTCTAAATCACTGAGTCACAGACCCTCTGAGCTCAAACTGATGCTCCATCCACACTGCACTTCAGCCAGCCAGAGGTAAAACCACACCTGGAGCTTAGGACAATGATTTGGGAAGACCGGAGAGTGATATTTAAGAGAACCCAGTTCAATCTGAAGACCCTGAATCCTGTGACTTCACCAGGCTCCTCTTGCCAGTAGAAACAGCCCCTGCTACCTTGCCTAAGAAGACTGGGCCTGTCTTGCTTGAAGATTATGACTATCCCTTACCCCGTAGCCTCACATTTCCCCAGAGCCATGGCTAAAGACAATCTCCCTATGCCCAAGGAGCCAATTATAAGGGGGAGTCTAATAGACCTTTAAATGCCCAAATGTGTATATCTACATCTCAATGAAAACCTGAGGAATATTCATAAGAATGGGTTCCAGAGTATGAGAAAAGAATGTAGTTTTAAATCCGGCTGAATTACCAGAGATTCTGAGGCTGGTGTGCCAGCTCAAGAATGTGATAAAAGTTCCAGTGTTACTTTACTTGGTAAACTGAAGCCTGCACTCAGTGAAACTGACACGAAGTCCTAGGTTCAATGGAGAAGAAAGCCAATGACTCAGGGATATAGACACTTAGAAGTGGGTTTACTATCTGCGACTGCCTTACCCGTGCTTTATATCCCCTGAGAGGGACCAAGGGACCCTCCCTTCACCAAGACAGTGAGAAACATGTTGCTAAGAAGAGAGCAGAGCCCTCCGATAGTGCTTCTGTTGCAGGGCTCCACATGCTAGGGATGTTGATGGAAGATACTGCCACTGAAACATGTCCCTGGTCTTTAGTGGGAATTGTGAGACCCCAGCATTGGCAATGCACTGACTGATGCTTAGTGACCAGAAGCAAAGTGGACACAGGAGGAAGCAGGGCCAGGGTGACAGTCAGAACAGATTGACACATAGGGCTCTTTGGTGGTGGTCAATCAATCCTGGGTACCAAGGGTTAAAAATACATGAAACATTGCACTAACATCCCACTTGATTTGTAGAGTTAAAAGACAAACAGACTAGAGTTCTGAGAGGCAAAAATCTCAGGACGCCAGCAAGTCACAGATTTTCACTAAATTCCCAACCTAAGTCAAGAGAATAGAAAGACGTGCTCTGTACCATATGACGTTACAAATTTATATTGTCCATCTCCCTTCCAATTTTTCTGTGGTCATTAAGTACAGTGAGTGTGCACTGGGAAAAGAGAAATACCAGACTTTTCAAGACTTATTACTGGCTCTGAGCTAATATTAATCCCAGGTCATGGGTTGAGTGAGCATTAATGGGAGTCAGGAAATAAATGGAATTTGGGTCCAAACTATTTCATAGTGGGCCTAGTAGATTCATATCCACCCTGTGGTTGTTTCTTAGGTCCTGAATGTATAGTTGTAAAATATATATATAAATGACAATACACAAAATCTCCTGTCTGACCTATGGTGGATACAGACTGGGATGATAGAAGGGCCAAGTGAAAACTCCTGCCTGGCTTCTCCCTAACGATACAGTAAATCAAAACCAATACCACACTTCTAGGAGAATCACAGAGAATAGTGACACCTTAGAAGACTTAAAAAATGTGTGGTTGGTGACCCAGTGGTGTGCTAGAATCAGCTCAAACAAGACCACAGAACCGTTGACATTATTTCCATTTATTCATAACAGTTGTTGTGATTGTTAACATTACCTCCCAACTGCATCTTCAGTGACATCACTTTGTAGCTTAAAATTGGCCATGTTTGGATTATTGGATTATTCTCTGGATTATTTAAACCAGAGAAACTGGGAAACACTACAAATCAGGCTTTTTTTTTCTTTTCTGAAAGCCAGTTTACCAGCAAACTACTGGTGATCCCCATCATATCCTCATTTAACTTACCTGTTTGGCTTGAGCAGATGTATCTTGGAGTTGGAGAATGATGGCAGGTAATGTAACAGAAGTCAGACTGTCTTTTCAATTGCAGCTGCCTTTCTGGATCTGGTATATTTACTGTACCTTATCAGCCCAACTTTTGATGTCTACTATGGTCGGAGGGGTGGATGGATGGATGGATGCATGCAAGATGGATGCATTATTTTTCACAATGGTTAAGATATGGAAACAACCTAAATGTCTGACAAAGAATAAATGGTTAAAGAAAATATGGTACACACAATGGAATATTAATCAGCCATAAAAAGAAGAAAATCCTGCTATCTATGACAATATGGATATCCAGACCTGGAGGGCATTGGGTTAAGTGAAATAAGGCAGACACAAGAAAGACAAATACTGTATGATTTCATTTATATGTAGAATCCAAGACAGTCCAAATCAGGGGTCTGGGTGGCTCAGTCAGTTAAGCATCTGACTCTTGATTTTGGCTCAGGTCATGATCTCATGGATTGTGGGATCAAGCCCTGTGTCAGGCTCTGTGCTGACAGCATGGAGCGTGCTTGTGATTCTCTCTCTCCCTCACTCTCTGTCCCCCTGCTCAAAATAAATAAACATTTTAAAAAATAAAATAGTCAAAATAATAGAAGCAGAGAGTAGAGTGGTGGTTGCCAGGACCTGGGGGTGGGGGGAATAGGAAGATGTCAGTCAAAGGGTACAAAGTTTCAATCATACAGGATAAATAAGTTCTGGAAATGTAAAGTACAGCATGGTGACTATACTTAACAATATTGTATTGCATACCTGAAATTGGCTAAGAGAGCAGATCTGAAGTGTTCTCACAAAAAAGAAAGAAGAAAATTATAGCTATGTGAGGTGATGGAAATGTTAATTAGCTTGATTGTGGTGATTGTTTTATAATGTATACAGACATCAAAACATCAGGTCGAACACCTTAACCATATACAATTCTTATTTGTCACCTATACCTCAATAAAACTGAAAAACAGAAAGTTATTAACAAGGCTAAGGTAATTGCTTACAGTCTCTTTCAAACAGATGAGCACACTGTCCAATGGTACTGAATTGACACATAACCTGTATTCTTTATCATGCAAGTATCATTACTGAGTGTAATACACAACCTCTTTCTCTTTGATGGACTGTAAATACATTTGGATACTAAGGGATTTTGCAATTAATATAAATATAGTTAAAATTTTTATGATGCAGTACCAATTGCAACTTTTATGTCAACTATAAAATGTAAACAGTAGCCCCTGTGTATGTCCAGTTCACCAAATGATGTGATAGTCACATGAAGTTGTATGTGTAAAAGAGCATTGTAAATTTCAGTGCTCTGCCTTAAAACATGAGTGAGTAAAATAGCTACTAGGCTGTTTCTATATTCAAGATTGAAAGGGAGATTCTTGGCAATTATCTATTATTCAAGGATGAAATTCTGTGGCTACTAATTAGCTTTGTCAAAATCCATAATTGTATATCAGCATAAGTCTGATTTTAACAACAACCAAAAAAGGATGGGTGGATGAATGGACTGTTTGTATGAAGGGATGGTTATATTGGGTAGGAGCATGATGCCATTGTTATTTTTTTAATTAGAATTTAAGAGTGGGAATAAAGGTGTGCTTTCCTGAGCTCTGTGAGCCATTCTAGCAAATTATGAAACATGAAAAAAGGGGTTTGAGAACTTCTAATGGAAGATCAGAAGCACAGATGACAACCTGGACATGTAATTGTCCTTTGAAAGTAGGGGTAGGGGCGGTCTTATGGGACTGAGCCCTTGACCTGTTGGATTAAAAAAAACCCAAAAACTTCCCAGAATCCCTTGCACTAGTTTAGATTGTGACATAGGTTCTGCCAACAAGAAACACTCAGTGAATCTGGAGTTTGTAACCTTGGCCCTGTATCCAAAGTTTCAGTCTCGACTTGCTGATTCCTTTATCACAGCTGAAGAGCGTGCTCCTTGATTCAACATTGTAGCAGTGGCTTCCAGACTCCTCATGTTCTTGACTTCTGTAGAGGTGGCAAGTTCTCTGGGAGGTCAGTGAATGAGAAGCCTGGGATTCATTCCTGGAGTCTCAAATTGGGAGTTTGGCCTCCCAGTCTTTCCCCTGATTTTGTAAGCACCAAATTCACAGTATTAAATCCCTTTCTCCTTAAGAGAGCTACAGTCAATTGTGTTAGCTACAGTTGGACTCTGACTGATATGATCCCCCCACCTTTTTTTAATATGTCCCCTTTTCAAGTTTTTATTCCCTTCATCAATTTTCATCTCTACTATCCAACCACCTCCCATTTCATACCCCAGAGATGAATCACCTCTTACATTTGAGGGGAAAAAAACATAGACAATATTATTGAGGAATTTCTCAACTTCCTGCATGTCCATCTAAGGTTTCTGGACCCACCACACCATCATGATATCTTTCCTACAAGGATAACCCATTCACTTTTGCTCTGAATCCCATCCTTTGCATCTCCAGAAATCTCCTTCCCTCCTGTACCTCTGTCCTGTCCCTCTTGTTACTTTGTTCATTCACTGTAGACACTACCAAGCTTTTCTCATGGTGAAGAACCCCCAACAACTCCCAATCCTCCATGCCCTTCTATCTAAGGTCTCCTTCCCTTCACTGCCAAGTTTCTAAGAGAATCATCTATGCTATACATCTCCACTTTCTCCCCTTTCATTCACTCCTCTCCAAGCAACTTAGCCTTTATTGTTCTCATTCTACTGAAATTCACCTCAGCGAAGTAACCAATAGTCACCAGATAGCCTAATCCAGTGGATTCTTTTCATTATTTTTCCTCCCTGATCTCTCAGGGGCATCTGCCAATGTTAACTCTCTCCTCTATGATATTGTGACAACACACTCACTGCACTTTTCTCCAGGAAAATCTGGTTGGCCTTTTACCATCTCCTTTGAAGCCTCCTCATTTTATGTACATGTGGAATGCTCTTTTCAAATGTTTTTGTATCCAAGCCTTACATTTCCTTCCATTCTAAAGGTTCATGCTAGGTAACTTCATCCAAGTGCATGACTTCAACTACTGACAATTCCTAGGAATATGTCTTGAACCCAGACCTCTCTCCTGAGTCCCAGAATATATATACAGTAACTTTCTACACCATATTTCTACCTGTCTCACAGACATCTCAGTCTCAATATGTCTAATCTTCCCCAACATCCATTCTTCCTCCTAAAGTCCCTGTCCTGTGAGTGACACCATAGTCCACTCAGACCCTCAAATCAGATATCTGGGAATCATCCTAAATTCCCTTGACCCTTGTCCCTCACAATTAAGTGGTCACGAACTGATTTGAAGTCTACCCCTAGTGCTCTGTGTGATGGTTTCTCCCCTCTCCATCACTACTGCCCTGGTCCAGCCCCCTGCAGTCTCTCTCTCTCTCTCTCCCTTCTTCCCTCTCTCATTCTCTCTCCCTTTCTCTTTTCCCTTCCCTCCCTCCCTCTCTCTCTCTCACTTGTTTACTCTCTCTCATTTCTGCTTCTGCTCACTCACTAGTCTTCCAAACCCTTCTCAGCTGCCTCAATCCATTCTCCACACAAAAACCAAATCTAATCATACCACTCCCTTCTTTAAATCCCCTAGATGGTGTCCGCACACACTTGCAGTTTTCCGGATAAAGTTCACATTCTTTATCCTAGCCCTAAGACCCTTCATTATCTGACTTCTCTAACCTCATCTCCCTCCACTGACCCTGAAGCTATGTTCCCACCCCCATGAACATGCTTGCATACACTCACTCCATGGACTTCCCTCTGTGTGGAACCCCCTTGCACTTCACCTGGTCCACTTCTTTGTCATCCTTGGTGACTCAGCTCATGTCACCTCCTCCAAGAAGCTTTTCCCACCCCCCTTGAGTAGAGCTAACCATCCTTTTCACCACTACTATTCTTTGTATATGCTGTGCTTACCTCTAATTTTACATTAAACTGTATCATATGTCTCATAGATCATAGATGTATCATAGATGTAAATACGTTTGTCACATTTGTTTTCACATGCCAGTACCCTACCACCAGCCCAAGTGTTCCTTTGTGAGCAAAACCATGCTTAGCAGTGTACCTGGGACAGAATAAACTCCCAAGCCATGTTTGATAGATTAACTGGTTTAACTTCTGCTTGAATTTTATTGGGTAACTGTTGTGAGTTGGATTGTGTCCCCTAAAAATAGATATGTTGGAGTCCTCACACTCACTACTTCTGAATGTGACCTTACTTGGAGAGATGGTCTTTACAGAAATATTCAGGTTGAAATAAGGTCACCAAGGTGGGCCCTAATCTAATTAGGGCTCTGAGCTGGCTGTCAGCACAGAGTCCGATGCAGGGTTCGAACCCACGAACCATGAGATCATGACCTGAGCCGAAGTTGGACACTTAACCGACTGAGCCACCCAGGCGTCCCTAAAAAAGGAAAATTTGGACACAAAGACAGATGCAAATAGAAGGAAGACAATGTGAAGAGACACAGCCAGAGGATGGCCATCCACAAGCCACGCAGGGAGGCCTGGGACAGATTCTCCCTCATAGCTCTGCTGACCCCTTGATTTTGAACTTCTGGCCTCAGAACTGTGACATAATTAATTTCTTTCACTCAAGCCACAAGTCTGTGGTACTTTATTATGGAAACCCCAGAAAACTCATGCAGTAGAATTTCCAGTGCCTTTTAAGCCTTTCTTTCTTTGACTCTCTAGCCATAAGTTGTTTTCTCTCTGAAGTCTTCTTTCTGAAGGTTTGCTTTTGTAGCATATCTCTCTGTCTCTGGCTCTCTCTCTCTCTCTCTCTCTCTCTCTTTATCTTTCCTTTCTCTCTCTCTCTCTCTCTCTCTCTCTCACACACACACACACACACACACACACACACACTGAAATCACATGTCTCTTTCAAGAACTTCCCCTTTTCCTCCAGATATTTCCATCTTACCGACAAGTTCTGCCTTGTGAGTCAGAATTAGGTCCCAAGTAAAAGCTCCCCTCATTGCTTTCTCATCTTTCTGAAAGAGATAATCAGGTCAAGAATGTAATCCACTGCAATGTTTATGACAGAACAGGCCATCCAGTGGTTATGCCCATGAGCCCAGTTTGCATCTTGCCCCCATGCTAGATTCAGAATTCTCTAGGCAAGGAAAGTATCATGAAACTGTCAGGCAAACCAGTAGTCAGGACATCCCACAGCAACATCACCTGATTCTCCTTGCATCTCACCTATGGTCCCCATGGTACTACCACCAAGCTTTTCTGACATCAAATCATGCAACTCTCTTCCTCAAAACTCCCTAATGCTTCCCCATTGCATTTAAAGCCAATTTCAGCTTGCTGTAGAGGCCTCTCCTAGAGTTACTGAACATCTGTAAAACTCTTTCAGCTTCAGGAATTTTGAACATGATCCTTCTTCCACTTACAGTGCTTTTCTCCCCCTTTTTTGCCTTTGCCTGGCTAAGCTTAGAGTCAGTTCCACAAAGGAGGTTACCCTGTATTAGCCTTCTATTAAATGCTCTCAAAGAAACTTGGATTATCTTGCCAAGGATTCATCATAGTATCTACCTATATGTTTATATTTATGGCTATGTGATTAATGTATTTCTCCCCCACTACACTGAAAACACCACAAGAACAGGACATTTGTCTCTTTTGTCCATCACTGACTCCCCAATCCCTAATGTAATCAACAGAGTAGCTACTCAACAAATATTTCTTTAAATGAGTGAACTGACTCCTACTCCTTGGCCCATTTCAATGAGACCAGTTTATTTGAATGAAGGGCATCCCTACCATCATAGAATCCAATCAAATCTTGGTGATGGCTTTGAACTTATAATAACCTTATATCATAATTTCAACTTTATGTCATTTATTAGACTATTCCACTGGTCAGGGTCCCCATAGGAAGTGGCTGGTGCTCTCAGATGGGGCAATTGAGAGTTTGATAAAGAGGCTGGCTAAATAGTATGGGCAGGGTTAAGGGAAACCAGCAAAGAATGGAGTTACCCGCAGTAGGTACCTGTTACCATTCCAAGGTCCAGAAGGGCAGAAGGAAGGGTAGATGCCAGAATCTGAAAAGAGTTGCTGTAGCAGATTGCCACCTAACAAGAGCTGTGGTCCTTAGAGAGGGATGCAGACAGCGCATGAAGCCACAAAATAAATATCCCAACTTCCCTCTCCTCCCACCTTCCAGTCTCCTGCTGGTAGACTCTTTTTTTATTTTTTTTTTTAATGGAAGTACTAAAGTATAGTTGACACACTCCACCTGGTGGACTCTTGTTGGCTGAACCTAATAGAAGCCTACCTCTGAGATCATGTAAACATCGTTACTTAACTGAGGACTTATTTGCTTTTCTGTTTTTCACTGATGCCAAGCTTGTTCTCCACAATATCCAGTTTTCATTACAGATGAATATTTTCCCTCCCTCTTCCTCTCAAATTTCAGGGTTTTTTAAAAGTTTACTTATGGGGGGGGGGAGTAGACAGAGGGAGAGAGAGAATCTCCAACAGGCTGTCACTGCACACTGTCAGCGTGGAGCCCAAGGTGAGGCTTGAACTCACAAACCATGAGATCATGACCTGCGCCAAAAACAAGAGTCTGACACTTAACCGACGGAGGCACCCAGATGCCCCTCAAATTTCGGTTTTAACTTATGTTCATCAGGTGGCAGATTTCCCCACCAAGCACCATGGTCATGATCACATTCAGATGTACTCTGTCCTCGGCAGAGAGTCCATTTTTATCATGTAAATCTTAGTTCAGGAAATCCAGTTCTGATGTTTTAACACTAGCTCGCCATCTTCCGTGGCTTGTTTTCTCTATCAGAGCTACTACCGCCAGAGCAAGAGAGATGCACATGTTATTTGGTCCTGCCTTATGAGCCTCCTCCTCACTCCTTTCCATTTCTGCAGCTTTCCAGGGCTGCGGGAAAACTTTCCAGCTTTTCCAAGTTACAGGGTTCCATTGGGAAGTGGCTATTATCCATTCCCTAGTCATTTCTCTACGGCCTGAAGTGTACAAACTGACTGGATACCTCCATCTCAAGAATGTGGGCGAACACAATTCTTGCTCTGGGGAGCAAGGTCCCTCCAGATAATGCCTTCATGCATTCCTTCCACCTCTGGGATTCTGGAGCTTAATAACTCTGCCTCCTCATTTCTGTCTCAATCTCTGGCTCCACGGTGCCACAGCCACCCACCTTACCTTCTCTCACCTGAACTTAGTGCTCAGCACCTTTTGCCTCAGACTAATAGCTCTGACATGAAGCCTACTGACTTCGGAAAATTCTGATCCACAGAGCCATAGGCTGAATATACCCTCCCTACCCAAGTTTTAACATTTCCTTTTATAAATATCTTATAAATGTCTGTCTAAGAAGCTCGAAAGTGTCATTGAGTAAGCCACGCCACTCCTTCCCTCATTTCTGGAACCTGATCTCAATTTTCTCTTTCTTGGCTTTCGGGGAGATTGTGTCCTTCTCCCACACGCCCTTCCCCACTGGGTCGGCAGAGGAGGAAGGATAAGGATGCCGGTCTGAACCGGGGGGATCACCTTGCCTCCCAGTCCCGCAGAGGCTCAGGCACCCAGGATGATGTGTCCGGGAGGAGCGCCCATGGGGCGGGACGGTGGACCCTATTAATAACAGCTGTCATAGCAGACTCGTGGAAGATGGGTCTTCAAAGCAGGAAGCCCCTCTGCCCAAGTGTAGGTCTTTAGGACTCAGTGGAGTGCCCTTCCTCTGAACCAGGACTCCCGATGGCCCCTCCCCAACCCCTACTCCCTAACACCCTAACCCGCGGGGCTTCCCATCCTTTCACTGCGATGATTTTTTTCTCCCTCTAAATATTTAAACATTCAAAAGAAAAAGCCAAATCCCGAAACTCAAACACAATGAAAACCAAAAAAGTGAGGAAAAATAACAAGAGTTTAACCGCTCTCCGTCCCAGCCGCGGACCCAAGCCGGGTCCCTGGTCCTCCGGCGCCTGGAGGGGTTAACCCTCTGCTGCCCGGGGGGCGGCCCGCCCCGCCCCCTTCCAGCCGAGGTTGGGGGCGCTCGGGGAGGGGCGGGGCGCTCCACTCTGGCTGTACATAGATGCACTCAGTTCTCTATATTTTGCCAAACCCGCACAAGCTCATCTCCACACCTTCCCCCACCCGCACCCCGGTCCCCACCAAACCTTTTGTTTCGGCGCCTCCCTCCTATACTAAAGGCTCAAAGAAATTTCCCCCGTGACATTGAACCCCAAGCCAGACTGCTCTGGGGGCCTGAAATGGATGCCTTGCGCGTGCTTCTCACCAGCACCTGCCTTCTTTCTTACACAGCCTCTCCCATTAGCGAGAGCCCGTCAGGGGCGCCCCGCGCCTCCCGTCTTTGTGCGGGTAAGGACAGCTTTTGTTGCGCTGTAGGCACGAAGCAGTGGACAAAGGACCCCGGACGCTGTAAGCCACACCCCTTACCTCCTCCGGGAGCCTGAGGCCAGGCTCCTCCAAGGTGGAGGGAGCAGGGAATCCTTTCAGGGCCCCCATTTTCTAAAGCAAATGCCAAGCCGCCTGTGCCGTTTACCAAGCGCAGCTTGCTCACCACTCCATTAAGATTACATTTGTCTCCATTTTTAAACAAAAGGGAATTTGGGTTGAGGGCCCCGAACCCCAGGAGCGCACTGTGGGATAGGAGCACCTGCAATCATGCAGTAGCCTGGAAAAATCTCTGACAAAACCAAGCTCTAAGGCGTCCAAACCCCCCACCATGCCAGAGGCATCCCCCACTGGGTCACCTACACCATCAGCCAGGAAACAAGTCGCGCCCAGAACTGCAGCGGACTCGCGGGTGGGGCTCAAATGAAGCCACACACGGGATGGAAGCAAAATTGCACTCCTGGGACTGTGGACAAAAGCACTTTGGAAAGCCACTTTTCTCTGGCTGGACTGAAGCTGAAGTTGTCATCGTTTGAGACATGGATGGGGACAGGCTTTTTTGTCCAAGACTGGGATGGGGGAGTGTCTGATAGGGAGATGGGGAAAGGAGAAAAGTAAGAGTCCCAGACACTGGGAACTTCTAGAGCCTCTGTTAGTGGGAAAAGCACCAAAAACAAAAACAAAACAAACAAACAAACAAAAAACCCCATTCATTTGTTCTTTGAAAACACATTGACTGCATCCTAATCACTTGTCCTGGGGATACATCAGTGATTAACAGACCCAGCCCTTGACCTGGGGGATGTTAGTCTAGTGTGAAAGGCTACACACCAGGGATGGAGCCTCGGTTCTAGTTCCCAGGCCTGAGCTCTTGCTCAGTTTCTGCATCTGCAAAAGGGAAGAAGCTGGTTCTTTATACCTTATGGAACAATGAGAAGAAAGAGCTGGAAGTTTACTGTTTAATTGGAATTAAAATACAACAGGACCATAGACACCCACAAAGACTTGAAATCAGGGATGCCAAAAGACACTTCTGCAACAATATTCATAGTGGTGTCATTCATGGTAGCCAAAAGGTGGAAGCAACCCAAGTGTCCATCCACAGATGAATGGATAAACAAAAGGTATATCGGTACAATGACATTATTTAGCTATTAAAGGGCATACAATTCTTCTACATGCCACAACATGGATGAACCCTGACGACATTATGCTAAATGAAACAAGTCCAACACAAAAGGACAGAGTGTATGATTCCTCTTATGTGAAGTTCCTGGAATAAAAAAATCATGGAAACAGAAAGGAGCATGGAGGGTACCAGGGACTGAGGGGACGGTGGAATGTAGAGTTACTGTTTAATGAGTATAGAGTTTGTTTGGGAAGAAAAAGTTTTGGAAATGGTGATGGTCGCACAACATTGTAAGTGTCAATACCACTGATTTGTACACTTAAAAATGGCTAAAATGATAAATTTTGTTATGTGAATTGACACTTAAACGTGGTATGTGTATTTTACAAAAATTCAAATATATAGGTGATACTGTGATTTACAGTAGATATATGTTTGGACTTTTGGCACAGAGCTCCTAAAACCCTTGGAATTTCCTAAGTGATAAAAGAATAAATGTAAAAGTAATGTCTTTATTCAGAATAGGCCCCATTTAGACACACCTGAGCTTGTTAATGAGGTGACTTTGGGAAAGTACCTCCAGTAGAGGACTTGTTGCCTGGGGAACCAACTTTATATTCAAAATGTTGGAACTTTCAGCCCCTGACCTGACTTTGGGGGAGTTTAGAGGGGCTGGAGTTTGAGTTAATCACCTGCAGCCACTGAGTTAATCAACCATACCTCTGTAATGAAGCCACCACAAAAAATCCCAAAAGTTTGGGGTTCCAGGAGCTTCCAGGTTACTGACAACATGAAGAGCTGGAAGAGTGGAACACCCACACATCTTGCCCTACGCATCTCTTCCATCTGGCTCTTCCTACATCATCTATCCTTCTATCACAGACCAATTATCCAGTAAGTATACTGCCTTCCTGAGCTCTGTGAGCCATTCTGGCAAATTATCAAACACGAGGAGAGGGGTGTGAGAACTTCTGCTTTATAGCTGGAAGATCAAAAGCACAGGTGACAACCTGGACATGTAATTGGCCTTTGAAAGTGGGGTGGGGGCGGTCTTATGGGACCGAGCCCTTCACCTGTGGGATCAGTGCTAACTACAAGCAGTCAGCGTCAGAACTGAGTTGAATTGTGGGATACCCAGCTGGTGTCTGGAAAGTTGGAGAATTGCTTGCTGGGAAACCCCTCTCCCCACACACATTTGGTGTAGGAAGTATTCAGTGAATCGTGAGTAAAAGAAACAAATGTTTTCCTTCCAATATTTAATATAGGACCCCTTGAAGTCTAGTTTAGTATTTGAGAGCTTCTAGTATGAATCACAGGGCTTATCAAGGAGTAGGTGTGCAGAGCCTGTTTAATGAATAGTGCTGTGTTAAGGGTCAGATCTGTGTTCCAGAATACAAGTATAGCTCTCAGAATTAGGAAGGACTTCATGTGGGATCAGGTCATCCTAAAAGTTGTATCATTTGATCTAGCCTCTCACCCTCTATGCAAACCTTCTGCCATAGGTGCTGTAAATTCAAACATACACAAGAGCTGGGGTACCTGGGTGGCTCAGTGGTTAAGCATTCAACTCTTGATTTCGGCTCAGGTCATGATCTCATAGTCATGAGATCGAGCCCTGAGTTGGCTCCTACTTAAGATTCTCTCTCTCCCTCTCCCTCTGCCCCTCTCCCACTTGTGCTCTCTCTCTCTCTCTCAAAAAAAAAAAAATACACAGGAGCCAAGTGAGTCCCATAAATGAGAGAAGATGTCTTAGAAAAATGTATAAGGCATACCTATTTGTAAAATGGGCTCTATCTTAAGGGAGCAACCACAGCTCAGCTCCATTACTGACATGCAGGATTACAGACTCAGTGTTGCCAGATCTTCCAACTATGCAAAAAACCAAAAAGGCCAAAAATCTAGATGGTTTAACAAAAATCTCCTTATCTGTCGGCAACTCATTTAACTTTTAAAAAATTCACTTTTGCAGGTGAGATCCAGCCCATAGACTAACCATTAGCAAAGTTTGTTCTTCAAATTCTAGGAGAATTGCATATACTATCCAGCCATCTGGATGGGTATTCAGGATTTGCCTGAATGCTTCTTATGACAGAGGAGCTCATTACTTAACTAATTTTTTGATAAATTCTAATTGTTAGGAAGATCTTGTCTTAAATAAAAATCTACCTCCTTGTAACTATTCCTAAACCATCTATATCCCCTCACCATCTTAGCCAAGAGAACAGCTACACCTCAGTGTGGTCAATGCCGTTTTCCTCCCTGGAGTCTGGGTTCTTTGAGGACAATGGCTAAGTCTTACATCTCTAAGTAAGGATAATAATAGACAACACTTATTGAGCACATATGTGCCAGATACTATTCTAAGTTCCTTGCATGTATGAATTCATTTATCCCTTAGGAGTACTCTGTGAGGGAGGTACTGTTATAATCACATATTACACACAAGGAGACTGTGGACGAGAGGGGCTCAATAAGTTGTCCAAGGTCACATACCTAGTAAGTAGTAGAACCAGAACTGGAACATACAGTCTGGCTCCAAAGGCAATGTTCAGGATACTGCAAGTGCTTATGGGGATGATCACACTCACTCGGTGATGCTTTTTTTGGTATGAAATAAGAGAAAACAATGCCAGTTCTTTCTACCAGAACCACAAAATGAACAGATCTCCATAAAACCAACATTAGAGATGGATTCCACCATATGCAAAAATGCGAAAGATGAGAAAGGAGAAAGGGTGGACTTTAATCATGGTGAAACAAGTTAGATGGTAAATAGAACTTCCTGGGCATTGAGGACTTTGAGTTCCTGGAATTGAGAATATAAAATTGTGCTTTCTTTCTTAGATAAAAATATTATTTTATTTATTTAAAGAGAAATTTTTAATGTTTATATATTTTTGAGAGAGAGAGAGAGAGACAGAACGTGAACAGGCGAGGGGCAGAGAGAAAAGGAGACACAGAATCCAAAGCAGGCTCCAGGCTCTGAGCTGTCAGCACAGAACCTGAGCAGGGCTGAAACCCATGAGCTGCAAGATCATGGCCTGAGCTGAAGTTGGACACTCAACTGACTGAGCTACCCAGGCGCCCCTATATTTTTAAAGAAAGGATGGGGAGACTAATGTTTCTGGAATTATTCTTCCACCTGAAGCTGTCCAGAGGCAAAGGGAATAATTATAAGGAAATCTGGGTGCTGAGAAACTTGCATTCTTCCAATTTCTATTCCTCATGGGTTTCCCCCACGGAGGACAGAACAGTGATCCTATCAGTGTATGAGCCTACTGGACGCTGGAAACAAAGAAATCTAAGATTCACAGATCAAATCCTATGTCCAAAAATCAACTACATAGGTCAGAAATTAACATACGACACCCAGAATCAGAATATTTTAGAAAGGGCTCAAGAGGTAATCTCTTCTTATCCAATCTTTTGCACACAGCAAGAATGCCTTCTGCAACATTACAGACAGGTGGGCACTCACATGTTGTAGCTACCCATCAACAGTAGCTCTTTGGTCAGCCCTCAGAGTCTCAAAAAGAGATGAAATGAGTCACAGATAGTTGTAGAAAAATCTTGAGGAAGCCTAAAGGCTGGGGCCAAGGGAAAAGGAAGTTAGAGAGGAGGAAAACACTTGATATGTGATTTTCTCAGCAGAACTTTTTCATGCATGTTCACATGAACATGGGACAACTGTGAATAAGGCCATACAGGTGGGATTTTGGAAATTTGGAGTAGCCTTAATCCTATTGCTGATCTCACTTTTTGCAACACTGTGA